CAGGTACATTGCCATTATGGATAAAAAAAAAATTCCTTGGTGCAACATTCCTGTAGTTTTTCTCAACAATTCAATTTTCAATTTCATTAAAACATCTTCCTAGTAAGCCCCTGTGGAGTCTTGGTGTGGCATTGTAGGATAAACACTGGACTATTAATGGCAATAATAAACTCACAATAAGCTCCTATGATTGTCCTGTATCCTTTGAGGAAAATCTAGCAAGATTATCCTTCAGAAGCCTCCCAAATAGTCTCTATAACCTTCTGAACTGACCTCTCTGCCTTGAATGGAACTGGCCCAGCAGATCCCATGGAAGCCACTGTTTTGATTGTATGTTTTTTTGAAGGCACCCTAACAAGACTAAAACAAGAGTACTACTGAGAAAACTTGTTGCAACCCCATCCACGGATCACGGAGACATGTTTAAACATGTTTTGTTTGGAATAAACCCATGCATGTATGAGCTGGAAACCTAGTAGCAACGCTTTTTGACTTACCCTCATTTGTAAGTTCACCTGAAATTAGAGTTAACCGATGGTAACTAACACCCACGAACAATAGTTTTCATTATTCATGTCTGTTGACTACTTTCTGGTGTACTGTTTGTCTTTTTCCTATAATTAGGATATTTAGGAAATTAGCCATTGGCTGTCTTATGTGTTGTTTCTTTGTCCTTTATAGTTTGACTTTTTTTTTGGTATCATATTCCATACATAAATGGTAAATGGTTTCTATTATGACTGTTGTGTGCCATTGAATCTGTTCCAACTATAGCAACCCTGTACAGGTTTTCTGGGGAGTAGCTGGTGTGTTTGAACTGCCTTATCTTACAGCACTTAACAACAACAACAACAACTTATCCTACAGTACTATACCAGGACTCCTTATTATGACTGTAGTTGATGTTAAGTGCTGTTGAGTCAGTTCTGACTAATAATGACCCTGAATAGGGCTTCCTGGTGTGGCGTTGTGAGTTAATGCGCTGGACTGCAAAGTCAGTTTGATTCAGGAGGTTGGTGGTTCAAGCTCACAGCCGCTCCTCGGAAACCTTATACAGGGTCATTATGGGTTGTAATGGACTAACAGCACTTAACATCAACAATAGTTATAATAATGAGTCTTGGTGTAATACTGTAGGATAAGTACTGGACTGCTAATCAGCGGTTCAAACACACCAGCCATTCCCTGGAAAACCTATACAGGGTTGCTATAAGTTGGAACAGACTCAATGGCACAACACCACCACCACAGGGTTTCCAAGGAGTGGTTGGTGAGTTTGAACCTCTGACCTTGTGGTTCAAACCTACCTTGAGGTTCAGTGCTTTATTCCACCAGAACTCCTTATTATGACCACAATTTATGAATTCCAAGATGATGAAAACCATTTATTTTTCTGAATTAGAGAATATGTTTTTTTGTGGGACAATGAATAATGGTTCTGCAAATGCAAAACCAGAAAGTAAACTAGTTGCTGTTGGGCCAGAGTTCCAACTTCTGAGGAGCCCATATATGCAGAGTAGGACTGTTCCATAGGGTTTTCAGGCTGTGACCTTTTAGAAGCAGATCACTAGGCCTGCCTTCCAGAGTTCTTTGGGGTGGGTTAGAACTGTCAACCTTTGGCTAGTAGTCAAGTGTTTAACCCAGTGTACTACCCTGGGACTCCTTTCTACGAGTGCAGGAGGGAGCAAAACTGAATGTTTCCCTAGTCCTGGTATGGCGCTGTGGGTTAATGTGCTGGACTGCAAGGTCAGTTTGAACCTCAAGGTCTGTGGTTTACTCTCACCAGCTACTCTTTGGAAACCCTATACAGGGTCACTATGAGTCAGAACTGACACAATGAATTGGAACTATGAGTTGGAACCGACTAATGGCACTTAGCAACAACTGGGGGAGAAGCGAGCTCCCCTGACCAGGAGTGCAGGGGTCATGGTTTCTGGGACAGGTTTCAGTGAATCCTAGAAGGGCTAAGGGACTGAACTGCTTGTCTGTTCAGAGCTGGGTTCCAGAGGGCCCAGTGGGAAGGGAGGTAGGGAGTAGAAGGACAAATGAGTGTGGGAAAGGGGGTGGGGAGTGCGGACAGGGTAGGGTGGGAGGTGTGGGTGTCACAGAATTCTTCAGAGATGGAGATGAGCCTTTGGGGGAGGGCAAAGGATCTCTGGAGGAAGGGCTTTGCTGGATTAATTTGTCTCAAGAGTCTGCTCAGAATCCCACAAGGTGGTTTTGGAAGACTGGCAGAGACATGTGCTGGGGGAAGGAGAAGGATTTGGATGAACCACTCTGGCAGGCAGGGATTTGACAGTTTCTTATGAACCCCTCCAGTGGGTGTTTATATGCCCTGCCTGGCACTGAGTGGGCTTCCAGTGTTGGCCTGTGAATGTAGACAGGAGACCGGTGAGGGCTGGAGCTGCCAAGAATGCTTCAGGGAGAGTATGGAGAGGCTGAGGGCAGACAGAGGGCAGGTGCTGGGATGGGAAAATGTTGCTCCAGGTTAGTTAGAAACATCGGCGTACAGACCCTTTCTCTGTAATTCCTCTTTCAGCTTCTCTACAAACACTACGCCCTTCCAGGTGTCTGGTAAGAGGAAGGCCCATAGCTGTGGTTCAGGGAGTGGCATGTCCAGGCTCACAAGGCAGGTCAACTACAGGGCCTTGCTGAAGATTTCTCAGGGGAGCAGAGCAGGGAGAGGAATTCCTGGCATGACTAGGGTGTAATCTCCTCCAGAGTGCAGTCTGTGGGTGGGTTGAAGGAGGGAGAGGTGTAAGGGGCCAGCAGACGATGTGTGTGTGTATGATATGCTGGGGTGGGGGGTGGTAAAGCAGATTCAGGAGGAGTCCTGAGGTAAAAGACTGGGTGGGTACATTCCTGTGTGTGTGTGTAAATCAAACAATTGATTTCCTTTGCCCACTTGGAGACTGGGGTAGGGGTGGGAGTGGCTGGAGTGGAATTTCCATGATGGCAAATATCACAGGACCAGGAAATTTGTATGTTCTTCAATCCCTCTCTCGTCCCCTCTCCCACCCGAAGACTCCACTGTCTCCTTGGGCATCTCTGTACCTCTGGGCTGAACTGCATCCAAAGCGATGGTGGGTAGTGGGGGAAGCTCTTTCCCAAGATAGCTGAGAAGGGGATGTTACATGTTTTAGCACACCTGTTTAACTGAAATGGCAAACCAAGAAGGGCATTCCATTCTCACCCTTTTCCACCCAGGACTTCCCTAAGGGCTTGGTCTGAGGTGACAGCTTGGCTAGCTCATAGGGGTGGGGCTAATGGTGGGCTAGAGGTGACAGGCAAGCCAGAGGTTTTGGTTTCCTCACCCCACAAAAGTTTCTCTGCTGTCCCTAGCAGGGTCTGAGTGGGAATCCTGGGGCGAGCAGTGCAGTGGAGTGGGTGTGGCCTGCATGGCTCCAGGCTGCTAGAGAATTAGGTCAACATTCAGTTAGCAAAGACTTGGTTCATTGTGTTCAGTTCTATTGCAATGTTTACCCCCATCTTGGACTGGGTTTGAAATTGCTGGGAATTGTTTAGTAGCAGCTTCAGGTGCAGGAGGTCCTGTATGTGAGTGGCTCTTGGTGGTAGAGTTGGTGGCTCTTCAACAGGAAAACGACAAGGAAGAAGTTGGGGAGGGCTATTTGAGTGCAAATCAAAGCATACTGATAGGGACCCCTGGTGGTGCAAGTGCTCGGTGATCAACTACTAACTTAAAAGGTTGGTGGTTTGAACATGCCCAGTGGTGTGGTGCTGTAGAAAAGCATTGGACTGCTAACCACAAGGTCAGAGGTTCAAGCCTACCAGCTCAGCTGCTTCTTGGAAACTCAATCCCTGAGTCAGAATCAACTTGATGGCATTGAACAATAATGACAACAACAATAATGACAACAATGGTGTCTGGTGATCTGCTTTCATAAAGATTACAACCAAAAAAAGTCCTATGGAACAATTCTGCAATGTAACAAATGAGGTCACTATGAGTCAGAATCTAAGGCAACATGATAGCACACAGATATACATATTATGTATTCAAAGACCCTCTTCCCAGACACACATTCAGACTCCTACATGTTTAAGTATGTTCACAGATATGCATACACGTGCCTATGCGAATCCTAACGGACTGCAATTATGTACATACAGAAATGTCACAAATACACAAAAGTGTTCTCTTTCTCTACAGGGCCACATTGTGGGCTGGGCAGAGCAGAGGCCCAGAGAGTTATTCCCAATGGCTTCAGATGTTTATTGGAAGTGAGGCTGGGGTTGTGGCCAGGCTTAAGCAGCTACTGATAATGGTCTGGCACATCTTGGGGTCATTTTGATAATAGCTAATCTCTGAAGGAGCTCTGGTAGCGTAGAGGTTACGAATCGGGCTGCGAACCTGGCTGCGAACCTTAAGGACAGCGGTTCGAAACTACCAGCTGCTCCGCGGGAGAAAGATCATGCTTTCTACTCCCGTAAAGATTTACACCCTCGGAAACCCTGTACAGGGTCGCTATGGGTCGGAACCGACTCGACGGCACTTAACAACAACAACAATCTCTGGAGACGAAGCTGAATTTGGACGGTTAAAGATGGTAGGGGTAGGCGGGTGGGATCAGGAATGTCCTTCAGTCGGGAGCTAACTTCCGGGTCTGGAATTTTTTCCGCCTCTCCTTCAGTCTTCGCTCCCCCCATTCCATCTCTTACCCTCAGGCCTCTCTGATCTGGCCTAAGGAGCCTGGAAGCTCTTCACTCCTTCTTCAAGCCTCCTTCCACAAGCCCTCTTTGAACAGCTCAAACCCTGCGCCCACCAGCACTGTTAGCCGTACCCCTCCTCCCCACTCCTGCTCGGACTAAAAGTCCAGATCCCATCAGGGTGGGTGGGGCGGAGGACTGAGCCCGGCCTCTGGAGGGATCTGTCCATCCGCGCCAAGAGGCCGGTGGCCAGCCCCGCCTCCACCTGTGTAAACGGACCCGCCCGACCCAGCCGATAAAAGGGGCCGAGTTTCCTGGAGGGCAGAGAGTTGGCTCGGCTCTTGGCCCGCTGGTCGCTTCTTCCCGGAGCTGCCGTTATGTCTGTCCACTTCAGCTCCCAGGTCTTCAGCTCGCGCACCGCTGCCTTCCCGGGTCGCGGCGCCCAGGTGCGTTGGAGTTCGGCGCGCCCCGGGGGCTTCGGCAGCAGCAGCCTCTATGGCCTGAGCGGCCCGCGTCCTCGCATGGCCGTGTACTCCGCCCATGGGAGCCCAGTAGGTGCAGGCATCCGCGAGGTCACCATCAATCAGAGCCTGCTGACCCCGCTGAGGGTGGCCATAGACCCCTCCATCCAGCAGGTGCGCCAAGAGGAGCGGGAGCAGATCAAGACCCTCAACGACAAGTTTGCTTCCTTTATAGACAAGGTGAGCCCTGCACCGGTCCTGCCCAGTCACACCCTAGGCCACACCAATCCCCGCTGGGAGACTTGCCCCGTTCCCTCTTCCTGCTTATCTGGGGATGCTACCTCATGCCCTGCTCACATCCCACTAACTGGGATGTTGTTTAGCTCACCTCAGGCTCCAAACCCTCTCTTCCAGCAAGTTGCTCCACATTTCCTTCCTAAGAGGAAGAATTCTAGTGGCACTTGGCTGCTAACTGTAAACTAGGCAGTCTACTTGTAAAGACTGTTGCTGTTGTTAAGTGTCGTCAAGTCGGTTCTGACCCATAGTAACTCTGTATAGGGTTTCCAAGGAGCAGTTGGTGAGTTTGAACCACCGACTCTGCAGTTCAAACGGACTTTGCAGTCCTTTATCCCACAGCACCATACCAGGACTCCAGATTACAGCCTTGGAAACCCTATGGGGCAGGTTTACTCTGTCCTACAGGGATCCAATAGCGTAGTGGTTACGAATCGGGCTGCGAACCTTAAGGTCAGCGGTTCGAAACTATCAGCCGCTCCGCGGGAGAAAGATGAGGCTTTCTACTCCCGTAAAGATTTACACCCTTGGAAACCCTGTACAGGGTTGCTATGGGTCGGACCCGACTCGATGGCACTTAACAACAACAACAACAGGGATCCAATGGGTTTGACTTTCCTCCCAGAATGAGTGAATGGGATGGGCCCAGGCTGGCTGTGTCTGTGATCCCTGGGGCTCTTGGGGCCAGTTTTGTCACCAGTGTCCCACTAGGAGCTTCAGAGGACAGTACTAAGAGGGTCAGGGATAGGGTGGGGAGTGACAAGTCCTTCTCAGCTGAGGAGACCCTGGCCTCTCTCCAATGCAGCCCATCTGAGATGTAGGTAGTGGTGGTGGTGTGCCGTGGAGTCGGTTTTTACTCATAGCAACCCCTGTATAGAGTTTCCAAGGCTATATGGGAGCAGAAAGCAGAAAGCCTCATCTTTCTCTCACGGAATAGCTGGTAGTTTTGAACTGCTGACCTTGGGGTTAGTAACCCGACTTGTAACCAGAGCTCCTTATGCTGAGGTAGATAGGTGCTGGAAATAGAGGGCTGGAGAGAGGGAGGAAGGGAGGTTCCTGGTCTTGCCTTTCCTAACTGCGTGGCCCTTGAGCTGAGCTCCCTAAGGTGGTGGGAGGTGAGGTTATACCTGATCTGGGAGACAGCCCAGCTGGGAGTAAGGAGGGGACATTGAGGGCCCCTGGGAGGCATTTGGGAGGTGCTTTTCCTGGCTGTTTGCTCCTGTCCCACATTGACCTCATCTGTGGGTTCTGGAAGGGGAGAGGACAAAGTGAGCAAAACTGGATCCAGGAACTCGAGTCAAGGCCTCCTCCCATTGGCTTATACCAGACTGGCTTCTTGTGATTTTATGTACCTCTCTGACCTTCTCCCCTTCCCACCTCATCCTGGATGTCGTCCTCCCATTTACCATTACAGACAATGACTGATACATATCCTTCAGGTTCCCCCCCTGCTCTTCTACTGCACTATCTGACTTCTGCAGTCCCCAGCTACCTTTCTCCCACTCCCAGCAAAACTGGTTGCTTCTGGGCTCCAGGGCTGGCAGAGGGCAGGCTACATAGAACCTTGTCCTGAGACCTCCATGAAGGAAAGGTGAAGGAGCAAGAGGATACAGAGGAAGCCTGATAGGAGGGGTGGGTCTCATCAGCTCTGGACACAGATGCCCCAGTAGGGCAGCCCTTAAAGATGGACATAGAGAAGATCCCTGTGATATGATGGGGATCGAAGGAGGCAGGAAATGCTCAAGCACATTGTTTGAGAGCCAAGAACTGGGGTAACATTGCAAACTAGACAGGACCAGCCCCTGGATCACACTCTAGGACACTTGAGGCAGAGAGTCCTGGAGCAGAGGGTTATTCAGGGTGGACTTCCTAGAGGAACAGTCAATGGAAGCATGGATTCTGTTGGGTGGCTGGAGATCCTCCTCAGTTCCACTGTGGGGAGCATCATTGGGACCACCCTGAGTTCTACTCCATCTCCTTTGTAGGTGCGGTTTCTGGAACAGCAGAACAAATTACTGGAGACCAAGTGGGCACTGCTGCAGGAACAGAAGTCAACCAAGAGCAGCCGCCTCCCGGGCATCTTTGAGGCCCAGATTGCTGCCCTTCGGCGACAGCTTGAGGGGCTGCAGACAGATGGGGGTCGTTTGGAGGTGGAGCTGAGGACCACGCAGGATGTTGTGGAAGACTTTAAGAATAAGTAATGCCCTTCAGTGGGACCTTCAGGGCATTGGTTCCTTGCCCCTTGGCTACTATATCCCTCCTCAGCTGACCCTTCTGCAAGTCCCTGCTGCTCAGTACCATACTCAACTCCCTAAAGGAAAGTTCTTACTAACACATTCCCTCGATTCTCCTTTCTTACCTCTTTGTCACTGAGGGTTGGTTCTAAATCATTTTGGTCTTTTCTCCTGACTTCTTATTAAGCGCCATTGAATCGGTTCCAACTCATAGAGACCCTGTGGAGGGTTTCCAAGGAGCTACTGGTGATTTGAACTGCCAATCTTGCAGCTCAAACTGACTTTGCAGTCCAGTACTTTTCCTACAGTGCCACACTAGGACTAATCCCAGTGAGATATCTCAGCCCAGCCCTGATCTTCACTGTTCCAAATGGGTGCATGGTCAAGAGAAGGTAGGGCAGAGAGTATCCTATGACAGCTGTGCTGCACAACTGGTACAATCCTCACAGAGTTTGAGAACAATTCCATATTGTTTAGTTGAGGAATTAGAGAGCAGAGAGGTTCGGGAATAGATGGAGAGCACACAGCAAATCAGAGAGAGAGCCAGCTGGGTTTTGGGTTCCTGGCTCTCAGGAGGAAACCTGGAGCCAACTTGGAAGGAAGAAAGGTCATTGTGAGTAATGGGAGGGGGTGGGAGTTGCAGAGGCTGAGCCAGGGATCTCCTTAGGGCAGGGACCAGCATGGAGGCTGTCAGGAGGGCAAGGAGTGGAGGAGCTGGAAGGTTGGGATTTTCCAAACAGACCTTTGAGATGGCTTCTGAGCTCTATTCTCACTGACTAGAAATCAGAGCCTGAGGCTTGGGTCTGGCCCCTGGCACACTATGTGCTACCTGGGGTGCGTGACTGAGTGGGAGCAGGTGTACCAACTCTGACTGGAGGAGAGTAAACAATGCCTCTGCTGGGATGTCCCTCATTCACCTCCTTTCCCTGAAGGCAAAAATCAATAGGATTAATCCCACAGCAGGTGGAACCAGACAGGTGCAGGGCAGGAAAGGCCTGGGGCAACCATCAAAGTCCTTGTTGCTAGGTGCCATACATATGAGCATGGATAGGTACACACAGGTTCTCCCTCACCCTAAAGCTCTCAGAGGAGGTAGAAGGGGGCACTGGGAGGATCCCTGTGTGCAGCTGCTTAGGGAATCTAACCCCCACACCCTCTGGGCCTGGCAGCACATCTCCAAGGATGGGGTAGACCAGACAGATGTTTCCATTCTCTTCTATAGAACTTGAGGTGGTGCACCTTTGGGGATGTGGGCAACTCCTACCTCATGTCTGGGCCCCAGAGGGGCTCTGCCTGTCTGGGCACCCTACTCCCCAACATAACTAACCCAGGCTTCCCAGCACGTCTTGGAATTGCTAAGTTCTTAACTTTTCATACCTGTTTTGAATTTTCAAATAAACATAGGGTTAATCCAATGCCCTTTCTTCCTTTGTATCCTGCTTTGCTGAGGTCTTCTTATGGGCAAGTGGCTGGCTTCATAGAGGGAAGAGGGATGGGGGGCTATGGGAGTAGGAGTGGGGACAGACCACTAGCTGTGGGACCTGGTTCTTCCTGGATTCCCTGATTCTCCAAGGTTCTTCTTCTTCCAACCTTTCATTCACCCCTAGATAGGTAGCATTAGGTATTTATTGGTTAAGACACAGGCTCTGAGGTCAGAATGCTCAAACTCAGGTGTGGCCTGTAGCATTTGGCAGCTTAGTGACATGGGCAGATCACTCTCTCAGTTCCCTTCTTTAGTATTCATAACACTATCATGATAGGAAGGAGCTCTGGTAGCATAGTGGTCACTAATTGGGCTGCTAACCTCAAGGTCGGCAGTTCAAAACTACTAGCTGTTCTGCGGGACAAAGATGAGCTTTCTGCTCCTGTAAAGATTTACAACCTCAGAAACCCCATGCAATGCAGTCAGAACCAACTCCAAGGTACTTAACAACAACAACAACATCATCATGATAGGAGTCCTGGTGTGGTGCTGTGGGTTAATACACCAGACTGCAAAGCCATTTGAACTGCAAGGTTGGCGGTTCAAGTTCACCAGTTGCTCCACGGAAACACTATACAGGTTCGCTATGGGTCAGAACTGACTCAATGGCACTTAACAACAACGACATGATGAAATTGCTGTGAGGATTATGTGAGTTGATGTATGAGAAGCATGTAACAGTGCAGGCCCCAGAAGAAGCAGCCCATAAGCATGGCCACTATCAATTGCTCTGCCTCCCTCTGCCCTTTGATTTATATATGTTTCTTACCATCCTTTCTGAACCCACCCTGTGTCAAAGCTCAAAGCCCTAGAAGAGTCATTGGAAAAGTCAGGGCAATTAGCTTCACATCCTGTATCTGTTTGTTTCGGGTATGTCATTAATAGAGTGGGTGGAGGAGATGGTGGGCAGGTTATCACTCTGCATGTCAGTGAGGGAATATGGAGGTAAAACCGCACCAACGCCATGTCCTGCCTCTATTGCAGGTACGAAGATGAGATCAACCGTCGCATGACTGCTGAGAATGAGTTTGTGGTGTTGAAGAAGGTGAGGTCACAGAAAGACTGGGGCCGGAACACATAGGACAGGGGCCACACACATAGTCCTCTCACCTGAGCAGTGGTGGGGACAGGTGGCTGTGCTTGGTAAGAGGGGACTGATGGGCATGGGAGGGGCCCTTAGAGCACAGCCTGTTGCTGGGAGCCAGACCCAGCAGACTTATTCCAGGGTTTTTCCGAAAGCGTATGTGGTGTCGGCGGATTACGGAGTCATAGGCCATAATAAATTCAAAATCTTCTCATTACATGCTTTATTATTATTATTTCTATGGCTACTCTAATACTCTACTTCTCTCATTCTTTACTGTCCCGCTCATTCTTTACTCCCCTGCTCTCCTGCTCAGATCTTCTGCGTCCTTTCTCCCTTCCCCTGGCTCCTGCTTCCCTTCTCTCCTCTCCTGCTCCCCTCTTCTGCTTCCATTCTCTCCATTACTCCCTCTATCCTCCCTCCATTCTTGTCTCGTCTCCTCTCCATCTCATATTCCTTCTTCTCCCCCTATTCTTGTCACTACTACTACTACCTCTTTGTTCTGTCTTACAACCCCCTTATATACCATTACAGAAAACATTGCATTCATAGTAATCAATGACATCAAGGTACAATCTATCTTGAGGCACATTCCTTATGGTTTACAATTCTTAAATTTACAACGTGGATGAGAAGTTACAGCAAAAACATTATCTCAAGGCATAGGAGACATTCAGGCGCCTTGAAACCTTTTAGTTAAACATTTGTTCATACATAAATTCTATTCTTTTCTATGGGAAACAAGTTAACCTTCACAATTTCTTAACCTTTGTCTGTTAAATCTTGTTAATTTTAGTTGTTAGGTGCAATTAACTCTCCATTAACTTCTTCCATACAATATCTGTTTATAGCCTACAAAAACATCACTTATCAGGGAAACTGAGGTTATGAAAAACAACTTCTCTAATTTACTGATCATTAATTTAAGAAAGTCTAAGTCAGACTTTTTATTTAGTATCTGTATATACCATACCCTTTATCTAATTGTTTTTAGAAATTCTTATACCCACAGCCCTTATTTATGGCT